TCAGATTTCACAAGAGACGAGATTTTGTTGAATCATTAAAATGAAAGATAGAAATTATAAACTTCTGTTTGAGAATCTCATAATCCACATGTTTCTATGATTCATACGCTCTGAACATGATGTGCTTGTTTGCTGATCATTACAGTGAGATCTGAACTGTTTTTAATTGGAGTGAGAAACTCACTCACCAGCTCTTTTTCTCCAGATCAGCCAGACAACAGCAAGAAGGACAACAGCGAATGCAGCGGCAGACACAGAAATCACTGTGACTGAAGAAGAGACAATCATAGTCAGAGACGGGACGATTGATCACTACTATAGCCAAAGACAATAAGCGAATGACATATTTCATTAATGTTTTATGCATTACCTTGTGTAGAAGTTAGTGCTGTCGTTGAATCAGCTGTAAAAGATGAATGTTAGTTCAGATGCATCATACGGTAGAATGGGGATCTTCAAAGTGCAGTCCCTGAAAAAAATTTCTATACCATATTTAAAAAAAAATAAAAATAAAAATCATCTGAAATATGCTGATTTACATTCCAAAGTCACTTATATGATGCACATAATGGCAAATAAGCTCTAAAGTAGGCACTTCAAGGTTTTTATAGCTGTATTTCTCATGTCTTATGTCATGTCAGTTTTCGCTGAGGGTTTCGGTACCGCAGTGAAGATAGTTTATGGTTTGATAATCAGATTTCGTTTGGATATGAATCTGCAGTGCGCTGTCGAAGACTTGTAAATAACATCACATCTCATTCTTCATGATCTGTGAACTCAGGTGACGCGGTCCTCTGTTCCAAAATTTGTGTTTTTTCATAGTGACTCTTAATTTTATAATGCGCATAGCTGCAAAAGTTCGCCACTTAGGAGACTGAAACTAGTGTCATCTTGACCTGCTTGATTCGTGAGTTTGGTCACAGTCTTGTATGTAAACCCTTCGGTAAATCCACTGGTCAGGAATGTGAAAAGTAGGCGTTCTTCATAGTTAACGGATATTTCCAACAAACATGGAGTCTTAGACAATACTAAGTCATTTTTTTTAGATGTAGCCTGTTCTGCGAACTTTCACAATCTTTCACAATCACATTTGATCATGTTTCAGTGTTTCTCACTGCTCGTTCCTCTTTTTCGTGTGTAATAATGACAAACAGGCTGAGCCGGTGAATAACAATAGTCATCTAGTCGGGTCACGCTAGGCTCATACAGACTAGTCTGATTTCTCAGTACAGTTTTGGGCTGTTAACCCTTCGTAGAGTGCTTAACTGCACTATTCAGATTTGTAACTTGTGTTTCACTGCAGTTTTGCTCAGTTAACCCTTCCCTGATTCCTTAAAAGGGGCATGAAATGGATTTTACTTATTCTTTAAATATTTATAAGGAAAACCGTCATTGACAGACAAAGCATGATGAAATAGTTTGCTTAAGGTTTGCAGTGCAGCTGCTGCTTCATCTTTCAAACAAAAGCTTCTCTGTGAACGCTCTTTCACTCTTCTGTTTGTCAGTAAAGCACTCCGTGAAGGGTTAACAGACCAAAACAGTAGAGTGAAATGCTTCAGAAAGGAAGCAGAATAGGGAAGGAGTCAGGAAAGGGTTATTCTGACCAAAACTGTACTGTTAAGTATTTCACAAATCACATAACTCCATTTGAGTCTAGTAGGACCTGACTAGATGACCGTTTTTTAACTTATAAGCTAGTTTATCTACTGGCTTGGACCGTTGTTCATTGGCACAGCCAGCTTATCATTATTACACAAGAAAAACAGGACCGAGCAGTGAAAAACACTGAAATATGATACAATGCGATTGTGAAATTTTTCACAAATTAGGCTACATCTGAAACAGGGGTGTCCAAACTCGATCCTGGAGGTCCTGGAGGTTTACATACAAGACTCTGACCAAACTCACGAATCAAGCAGGTCAAGATGACACTAGTTTCAGTCTCCTAAGTGTCCAAACTTTGCAGCTATACGCATTATAAAATTAAGAGTCACTATGAAAAAACACAAATTTTGGACCAGAGGACCGCGTCACCTGAGTTCACAGATCAAGAAGAATGAGATGTGATGTTATAGACAAGTCTTCGCCCTGCCACATTTGTGACTTTTTGTGAATGATGCCGTTATAAGTGGATATTGGGACAGGAGAGCAGCACAAAGCCTTTACATAATAAATAATAGTTTAGCAACCAGATGTTACATCGCGACTAACGATTCATTCATGGAAACGACTCTCACCGAATGAGAGGAACGAGAGCAGATCAGTTGGCTTTAAATCAGTTTGTTATTGGCTTGGCATTGAAAATAAATGTTGTTTGTAATGAATGGCACTATATTTTATTTTTAAATTATACATATATTTTACCATTTTTGTTCAGTATTGAATATCATTAATTTACAGAATTTGGAGTGAGGGCAAGTAAAATACATGTTTATTGTGTTTATAAGGTGTGCTAACATTTCGTTTTATTTACATTTTACAGTATTTCTGAATGTAATAATAAAATGCAACCAATACAGACATATCTGTGTTTTTTCTCTGTCAACAATGCAAGTTTGATCTGGTGCAACTTGTTTTCCGAAAAACACAGCATTGTGTAAATACAGTAGGGACTGTTTGTACCAATAAAACAAGCGTTTAAATAAAACTGATTGATGAGCTTGTTTTCTCACCTGAACTCTTGACAGTGTATGTGACTGAGCTCTTGACTTGATCTCTCTGAGTAACATTGCATCTCCACTCTCTGTTGTGATCTTCATTCAGGAGTGTTGTATTCAGAGTGATGATACAGTGGTCTGATGAGGATAATATCTGATATCTGGAGTCTGATCTCGTCAGTTTAACACCAGCCTGATTCACCCAGAACAGCTGAATTCCCTCAGAACGGATCAAATCATCACAAGAGACTCGAGGATATGAATACAGCTGACAGAAGAGAGTCACAGAGCG